TACCAATGTGACCGAGTTGCGAAAACAAGGTCAAACAACTTCTATTCAACGGAAGGAGACTGCGACTGCAAAAAAGGCCACACCATCTTGGTCTTTATACCTTCGATCATACTATATACTTTGATATTATGATAATTTTAGTCCCTCTAGGTCACAGAATGTGAATCAGGGACTGACGGTGGAATTTTTCCAAACTTAAAGAAGTAAACATCACGATACCCCTAAGTTTCACTTTGCTTTATTTCCTTAACCCTTTTCTCATTCGGCCGGGACTAAAGGCAAGGCAGTCTAATGTGATTTTTTGATAAAATTTACAATCAGTCTTTAATTCGCCTTTAGTTGTTTGGCCTAAAGTCTCATTCGAGAAATAGTCATAGTCTCGACAACTAATTACATCAAAAATAACCATATATTTATCCATTGAATATCCTCATGCGATTTTATGTGTGCTATTGTATTTTCTCTGTGTGCAACAATTTTGTCTCACCTATAGAAAATTGCATAGTTCGACAATTTTCACCATTTGTGATTGGCAGGTTGTAGATAATGCTTAATTGCTTCCCTGATTTGGGCTGTGCCAAATGAATCTCTCTTAGACATTTCTAAACTTGGTGAGATATGCTGAGTCGTCTCGAGGCCCGAAGACAGGTTACATCATAATCTTCGTTGCAATTTCCAGATGCATTTGCTGTCATGCAAGCAACTTTTGCATTCAAGACGGGTCTAGATATCCTATTCGCACAGCAGCACCGATACCATACTTAATGTCCCTTCATCAATTATAGACGGATCAGATGAGTGTGATTATCACATTCCAATATAACTCCGGGAATGCACAACTAAAATATATTACTTAGTTTATTTTTTTCAGACTAATAAGTAATTCTTGAATAGATACTTGAATCATCATAGGTACCAATTCACATTCTTATAGTGTGAGTGTTTCTGGGCGCACATGTATTTGTCAGCAAAGTCGAAGCAGGTCAGGCTTATGCCATTGTGGGTAAACTCTCCAAAGCGTCTTTAGTCAAAATTAGGGATAGCTTAGAAATGGAATCACACCTGAAATTGGCCAAGCATGCAGTGTGGCTGTATGTGATTACACATTTTCACTAAGCCGCCTATCAGGCCAACAATTAAATTGTACCGAGACCTGATAGAGTCGTCTTCTCGTGAAAGTTTTGCTACAGAAGTCTTACACTCTGTACATTATTACTAACTTTCAGACATGCCTTGACGCCGAACATGGCAGTTCAGAGATGACCCTGAGCCGGCACGAATGACCCGATAAGTTGCAAGCTACTTCACACTCTCAACCGTTGCTCGGAGCCTAAGAAGAGGGCCGACCGATTGACCCTTTTTCCGGCTTGTGAAGTGGATAGGCCAAGCCTTCACATCGCATCATGCATGCACAAATAAATTCATTTATTTACTTTTTATTTCGTCTCTGACGGCCTATTTTTTGTCACCTTTTCCCCGTTTAGGCTTTGCCCCACAGACAGAGGCGACCGTCAACCGACTCGGCTTGAATGCGGATGACGACAAGACGGCCGTGTACTACGAGGTGAGTCTGGAATTCACAAAGAAAGCATTGCAATTGCCATTTTAGTCATAACGACGCCCGAAATTATCGTCATCCTCCCTCCACTCCTCGAAATGTTGCTCCGACCACAGAGGAGCAAGTCGTGGAGGCAGTTGACAGAGGGGTTCATTGGGTGTGTACATTTAAGGTGAGATAAATAATAACTTCAGGCTTGGAGGAGTGGTTGTGAGGGGAAGAGGGTGAATTTGATCGCTTCCAATGAAGATGGATTATAGGAAGATTTTGCCACACAGCGGGCGCTAAACTCAGCAAATCGACAGCTCCGTCTTTTGTAGAGGCGAAGCTGTGCCTATAAACAGCATCATGTTTTGACTAAGAAGCTAGGTGAAACATAGAGAAATGCCTAATCTACTCTGAAGCTCAGACACCTCATTTATTCTCTTCTTTATTCCGTACTATACAGCCTACAGGGGAGCCTTATTTCACTTGGATCGCTATGGTACTAAGAAGTTGGCGGTTTATTAAAATGAATATAAGCCATATATTCATTTTCGAGGTAATTAGAAGGGAAGCATGCTCCCAGTCCGCCACAGCCACATATACAACGAGCACAGAACAGATGTGATTTTCAAGGCAATTCATATCTCTAACATATCACATTTATTGGAGGATTTTTATCGATGAAGCTAGCTTAGCTTTGCCATTATAATCAACAACGACCTACAAGCATAATTAGTTGACTCAAAACTATATGTAGATCTTGGTTGAGAAATTTAGTAGTCGTTGATTTTTATAGTAGATGCTAAAATTGATAGTTATTTTTCCCACAATGCTATGAGTTGCCAGCACGACGCCAGTAAATTTGATTTAGCCCTGCCGACCAAAAGATTGTCTAGTCTGGGTCCCGACTTACCCACCCCAAATTCTTATCCTGCTGCCCATGTCCTGACGTCACATAACTGAAGCACAAATAAGTATTTTAACAAACGTGGAACAAATGGAAAACTTAAAGAGCCCTTAATAAACTAACTTGACAAAATAGCTAAAAATATCTTTCTTCAAAAATAAAACAAACTAGCTGCCCTTTGATTTATGGCAGACTCGGGACCTATTTTTGCAATCCGAGTAGTACCAATCTGGAAATTCCGACACTAACTCAACTGCGTTCTTTTTCAGACAGATTTGAGGGACAAGAGCTTAGTCAGCCCAGGTCGATTAAGATGGTCTAGGCACAGTTTTTTCCACAATTATATGAGTAGGTCTTAAGGTGACATTGCGATTGATATAGCCTTGAACCCCAAGCGTCGAAATGAACTTCCACGGCATATTGTGAAATGCAAATGCCACAGCTCTGGTAGCTCGACTAAACCGGACTTCGGCCATCCAAGCGATTGGTCCTACAGAGCTGCCCGAAATGCAGCACATACAAATCACGTACGACTCGGGAACTTATCATGCAATCTTTTCAATCAGGAATTGGTGCGTTCTTCTAGGTCTTCCTACTAATATGACCAAGGTGCGAAAGCAAGGTCAAATAACTTCTATACAAGGAAAGAATACTGTGACCATACTAAATGTCACACCATCTTTCGGTTAATTATCTTATCATTATTTTTCTCATTTAAGTATTGTTTCGAGACTACCAGTAAATCAGTAATATGAGATGTATTCATCCTATTGCGTTTAAGGTGATGATATGGCAAAAGGCTTGGCCTTCCTTGAAATTCACATTTTTCCTCTGACTCAAGGGCACTCGTGGCAATATGGCCGAGTGGATAATGTGTCAAGCTCCCATTTTGCGCTGTCATGGTTCGACTCCCGCGGGGGGTGTTGATAAGACCGATGCGAGGTCGAAACT